GTGTCAATGAAATCATACTGATGATGAGCCTGCACCTGTAGAAATGTTCATGGGAGTGAGGGTTGCAGGATCGGGCTCTTATGTAGCATTGTTGGGGCTGCTAAACTGCTGCCACTTACTGCCCAGAACTTCACGAAAAAGTTAGTGCTTTCTCTCCTCCCAGGTCATTTTCCTCATTTTGACCTACCGGGGTCAGGCACCCAAATACAGTATCTCTCTTGAGTTTTGGGGTTTAAACCCAACCCAAAATCTCTGTGCAAAACTCACTCAAAACCCTCAGATTTCATCTTGCCTGGCATCAAAACCATGTGAAACTGCAACATGTCATGGACGTGGTGCCAGAGCATATATCATATCCAGCTTTGTTCCAAACAGACCCAAAACAACATGGGAGATTCAGCTGAAAGTTTCCGGAACGTCCTGTTAAACCTGCTGTTAGTTTTAGCAAAAACAGGATGACTTTCAAGTGCTTTCCTTGCTGATGTTTTGGGCAGCTCTAGTTCCACTACTGCGTGGCTGCATCCCCTGTAGGGGTGCATGTGAAAAGGTAGAGCGCTTGTAAAGCACTAGAAATGTAACTAGTTGTTGTCCGATCCCTGCATTAACCTGGATTCATTCTCCCCTCCCCATCAACCCATTCTCTGCAGATGTTCAGCATATTAAGAGGAGAGACATCGTTCTGAAGAGGGAACTGGGAGAAGGTGCCTTCGGGAAGGTGTTTTTGGCCGAGTGCTACAACCTTAGCCCCACCAAGGACAAGATGCTGGTAGCAGTGAAGGTAAATCTCAAGGGAGCATGGAACAGAATGTAGTGAAGGCTGAACAGCAAGGTATAGCTGGATGATACTGTGTGGGAAGGATAGGAAAGGGTAGGTGGGGAAGGTTTATCAGATGCAGTAGATTGTGGTAAATCCACTTAGTCACATAAAGTTTCAGCATTTTGCTTCAAGGTCATTTATTCTCACCAATGCCAAAACCTTTCCTTTCCTTTCCTGTTGATCTGGCCACGAGGCACCGAGGAGAATCTGCACTGCACTGGTCTGGAAGCTAAAGCTGACATGCAGCTGCAAAAACAATGTATGGAATTCACCTGCCCTCTCTGAGAAGCTCTGGGTCCTCCCCCCCCCCATCCTTTTGCTCAACCTTTTGTTTTATCTTTTGCTGCAACTATATATGAGAAGTTGAGGCAAAGAGGCCTCAGCAAAACACACACACACACAAATCCAAAATACAAACACAAAAACCCCACAGAAATAAAGTTTTCTGGGATGATCTGCAAGATCCTCCAAGGATCACTTCCAGCTGAGATCTGCTCCTACCAGCTTGGTCACACAACTCCTAAAGGACTTCCAACAGAGGTCAGCTCAGCATGGCTTCTGCTGTCTCAATCAGCTGCTGCGTACACCCCTTAAGGGTCCTTTTGAGAGACTCAGAACACGTTTGCACAGCAAGTCCAGGCCTCGGGTGGAGGAGTCTGCTTAGTGGATAAGTGTGCTATCATATCAAGTGGCACCAGTTGGCAAATACATCATAATCCACCATGGTAACTGCGGCCATGTAAATCATTGTCAGTGGTTTTGAATTTGAACCGATACCCTACAAAGAAAAAATCTCTCTCTCCAGAACCCCAGAGACAACCTGTTCCCAAAGAGAGCGTTGTTTTAATCAACCTTTTAAGACATTTTTTTTAAGCTCACTTTTCCTGGTATGTTCTGGTCCTGAACTGCAAGGTGCCACCTTTTCGCTCTATGCTACAGAGATGTATAGAATAACTACACACATGATTAATTATCTGAGAGCGTGGCTTGTGCCATGGTGTCAACCTTGTTCCCCGACTTGTGCCTGCCTCTCAACAACATCCAACCCTTATGGCGTATAAACAATGCATCCACAATCTCTTAGGGCTCGACTGAGTTCCATTTGCTTGTAGGCGGTAGCGTTAGCTTGACTATCTCCCACTAATTGTTGTTACAAACTTACATCTCCAGAATGCCTTTTGTCATGGTCACAAAGCATTTTACACAAGACTGACTTCGCCACCTCTGAAATGCGCCCAGCTTCAATATGCAACACAACAGCTGTTTGACATCCGACGGCACAAGGATAGGAAAGAATAATGTAGCCAGTTGAAGCCACAAGGGGAATTTACGGAGCAAGTTTAGGTAGTTATGCAAAATCTGAACCTAGGCCGGCGGAGCTTAACGTCAGTCCTCCTTTACAAAATGCCAGAGGGTCTTTAATTACCGCAAGTGACCAAGGCTTCCTGTTTCACATCCAAAAACCTACCCCCCAGCAGCATCACACCCCTTACGACTGCACTGGCATTTGTTCAATGATGGGTTAGATGGAAGAATGCCACCCGCTGGAGCATCAATATCACTTGCAGCACGCTGGGTTTTCTTGGAGATCTCGCAAGTGCACACAGACTCAACCTCCTGAGAACTGACTGTGATGGCAAAGAGGTGGCCCCAATAATGAAGCCCCATTCCCCCACAGGAAAGCCTACAGGACTCAGTAGCACCGGCAGTTGGTTTCTACAGGCGCATTTGAGATGACCTCCTTTTCTACATCAGAACATCGTTTTCTTTTCTCCTCTTCATTTATTACAGGCGGGACTGATCGCACTGCCCATTATTGAGGTTGCCTGACCCTTCCCATTGTAAGACCCTGTTTTCAGTTGATAATACCTTTGCCAGATTTTAACCATTTAGGCTGAAGATTCCCATGGTGGGTGTCTGCCTCAGGCTGAATTTTTTTTTTTGAAAATTTCAACCAAAACAATTCAGCTGTGTTCAAGAACGAGGCTAGGGAAAATGCATTGTTTTGCCCATGCTAAAAAATGCTGATGACCTTTTTGTTTCCAAAGTTCTAGAACCCCCATGCTTTGGAGCCAGGAACTTAAAATTTGGCAAGGAAGTGGCCTTTGTGTCAATGACGTGCCTTTCGCTGTCCCTGTGAAAATCCACCAAATTTGGACAAATTATCAGCCTTTGAAAAACTGCAGTTTGCACGTGCTCAGTAAAGACTGCTTAGATTTTAGCAGCTAAATTCCCTGAAGGTTTCATGCAGTCCTGGCACTAAAATGGAGAGAAGGGACACTCAGCCTTTCCTGTGCTCTCAGTGACCCCCCCACCCCACCCATGGGCCCAGGCAGCATGGGAGAAGGAGCTGGGCAAGGAGACTGGACTGGGAGCTGGGGAGAGAAATAAGGACGGAGACAGGAGCCTGAGAACCTGTAGATCAGGGGTCGGCAACGTTTGGCATGTGGCTCGCCAGGGTAAGCACCCTGGCGGGCCGGGCCAGTTTATTTACCTGCTGACGTGGCAGGTTCAGCCGATCGTGGCCCCCACTGGCCGCGGTTTGCCGTCCCGGGCCAATGGGGGCGGTGAAAAGCTGCGGCCAGCACATCCCTCGCCCACACCGCTTACCCAAACATTGCCGACCCCTGCTGTATATGGAGGTGTGTCTGAGAGTGGATGAGGATCGGGGTGGGGAGAGGAGACTGAGACTGAGAATCAGTGGGGTGGGCAGAAGAAGTAGGAGGGGAGATAGATCTGATGAGCTAGGGTGCATGCAGAGAACTGGAACTGGGTGGACACAGAGATGGGATAAGTGGGGGAGTTGGGGATAAGGCACTGAATTTGGAGGAGCCCCAGGAGGGAGATTGGGACTGGGGGCCACTGGGGATGGGGAATACCAGAAGCGGGGAAATGGGCAACTGGAAGCCAGAGTGGGTGAGAGTGATAGATCAGATGAGGAGCTGCGATGGGGTGGGAAATTGGGACTGTGTGAGGTAGGAGACTGAGACAGGAATGAGAAGCCGAGGAACGGGGTCTGGCACTGGCTGAGGAGAGTGGGACTGGGACATGGAACTATGGATGGCGAAGAGACAAGAGTGGAGGGAACAGAACAGCAGGGATCACGGTTGGGAGAATGGGCACACTTCCCTCCGGAGCCTGTAATGGTACCTGAGATTCCAATCTCATTGTTCCTCTGCTCTCAGCAAATGTCTGTGAAACCCACTGGCAAAATGTTGCCCTCTAGTGCTGGTCCACATAGAGGATGCTACTGTTATCCATTAGCTTACCTGGCAGCGGTCTGTGCAGTTGGAAGGCTCCAACCCTGCTGATCACCCAGTGGATGTCAATATGATGCCACTCAATGGCATTTTTGTTTTCTCAATTTGCTTTTTTAAAACCCTAGGAAATAACACACAAAAACTATATTCAAAGAACATGAGTGAGGTTGTAAAGTCAAGCATTGTAACGGTAGGAAATACCAGCATTAAGGTTGCCTGCTCTGAAGACAGAATTATTCATATCTTCACGTGGCTTTTCTGTGGTCCTTATCACTCAGTGCTTCACAAATATTACTGACTTTATTTTCACAACACCCTGCGTTATCCCCTTTTACAGATGGGGGACTGAGGCACTGAGAGATTAAAGTGAGAAGTACCCCCTCATGCCCAGTTTGGATGCCTTTATGCCAAAGTATTGCATGCAAAGCACAACTCCCATTGACTTCAGTTGCAGCTGAGAGAGCTGCAAATCAGAGCCCAGAGTCTCAGGTCAGGCACGAGGAAAATGAGGAACTCGCAGTTAGTGACCACCTGTGTAAAGTTAGGTTTAAGTGACTTGCCCAGCATCCAGAAGAGGCAGAAGCAGAGGTAGAAGGCAGTTCTCCCAGGCAGCATTCAACAGCCTTAACCATGAGACCCTCCTTTCTTTTTCCTCTTCTCTTTTGCCTCATTCACTACACACCTTCCAACGTCTATATTTCCTGACTTTTAAATCCTTGCCTTTACAATCTTAACAATGTTCCTTTAACATATATATTCCCATTACCTTGTAGAATCAACGATGTATTCAGGGAACTTAAAAGTCATTGTACCTTGAAATATCAGGTCCAAATATAAAGGGGGGAAAGGATGATTGAAGGGGGAGGGGAGCTATTTTCCTGGAAGGGTGTAGCAGCAATACTATAAAGATATTAAATGATTAAAAATAATCAGGTGCCTGAGATGAGGATGGATGTTTTGCCATCTGCACAGTGTGACCGTCATCCATCTAAATCTCTCTAGGTGGCTGTCCCGTGAGGGCAGAGAATTAAAATGAAGTTATACCATGTGTTGAGCGGGTGTAGGGTGGGGGAAGGAACAAAGAGGTGTGGCCTCATGCTTGGATAATAACCTGTGGAGATTGGTTCAGCGGGAAAAGCACATGGATGGAAGAAGAGCACTTGCCACTTTGCTAAGCTTAGTGTCTAGCTCAGGGGTTCTCAAACTGGGGGTCGGGACCCCTCAGGGGGTCGTGAGGTTATTACATGGGGGGTCGCGAGCTGTCACAAACCCCGCCTTGCCTCCAGCATTTATAATGGTGTTAACTATATAAAAAGTGTCTTTAATTTATAAGGGGGGGTCTCACTCAGAGGCTTGCTATGTGGAAGGGGTCACCAGTACAAAAGTTTGAGAGCCACTGGTCTAGCCTGACAAAGCTGCAGGACAGGCTGGATTTATTTTCAGCATCTCACTCAATAGATCCACTGCCTCAAGACACAGCAAATGAGAAAGCGCTTCCTAAATGCTGAACGTTCTTCCAGTGCCTCATTTACTGCCAAGTTCTGCTGACCTTCCTCTGACTATTTGTGCCTTTGAATTCCTTGGCATGAGTAAGATGAGCAGGGTCTTGTCCTTAGTCCCCAATCAGTGGGGTGACCATATGAGTTTACAGACTGACAAGAGAAGGACTGGGGTTTGTGGTAACTCCAATGACATCATTACACAGACAGAGATTGGTAAACAGACAGCAGATGTCCTGGTAGGGTGGGCACCCAAGAAGAAATAATTTCAAGGGATATTGTTAGGATCAAGTGGCACTAAATCTGACCAGCCTTTTTTGATGCGTAAATGTTCACAGTCCATGGCATTTGTGATGATTCTCCCAAAACGATAGTGGGGAGGGACAGCTCAGTAGTTTGAGCATTGGCCTGCTCAACCCAGGATTGTGAGTTCAATCCTTGAGGGGGCCACTTAGGGATCTGGGGCAAAATCAGTACTTGGTCCTGCTAGTGAAGGCAAGGGGCTGGACTCAGTGACCTTTCAGGGTCCCTTCCAGTTCTATGAGATAGGTATATCTTCATATATTTTTTATTTTTATTTTATTACACCTACAATAACAAAGCAGTGTCCAAACCAACCTCCATAAGCAACTGTACAATAATAAACAGTGTGTACAGCCCTGCACTCACGCGGAACCTGACCATATATTCAGGAAGTATGTGCAGTCAAGTCCTCCCAGCACCCTACAATAATAAGTGTGTGCATGCTTGTAAGCTATCCTATAACAGCAGCAAACCGGTGTGCTCAAATGTGCTAAAGGAGATGTTTTTGGTAAGGATACAGATTTCAGCATCAATCTCTCAGGGAGCTGTTATAAACAGCAGGGAATAAAAACATGATTTTAAAAATGATGAGGAAAGATTTGACAGTGTCCTTCAGAGGCATTTTGAAAAATCCTCCCAATAACTGCACAGCCCAGCAAATCCGTCTTCAGAAGAAAGGAGGTGTCGTCAGCTATTTCAAAAGAAAAGATAGCTAGAGGGGGCTGGCTGGCTCAGGAGCGGAGTAATAATGAGATACTGAGCCTTTCGCCCCTAGGTCACCAGTTGAAATCTTGCCCAAGCTGGTAAGAATGGGAATCTATTACCCTCTGAGGGCTGTTTGCTGCTCTCTGTGAAATGAGTTGGGGAATGAGCTCTATTGCCAAGTAGGCTGCTGTCCACATAGGAAGAAATTCCAGTCTAGTGGCAGTAGCTGCGGCTCAAGCTCAGCAGAGCTGACTGGTGCCACGGAGCCGTACCACCTTTGCCAACTCCTGCAGGAGGTGCCTCCAGGGTATGGTTGAGGCACATAGGTAGGGAGGAAAGGCCCCTTTGACAGCACTGTGAGAAGACCGTGAACTCCGTGATGGGTCCCACAACAAAGCCCGCAAACCATCAGGTGTTTAGTGGGAAAGGAGCAGGTTGTCTCTCCTTGTCGCAGGGAAGTGAAGAGATCTGTGATATTTCTAGCACCTGCTGGTAAGACACTGGAGTTTAATGGTAGGGAAGACAAACTACTCCTCCTAAAATCCAAACAGACTTTGGCCTTGTCCCAGGTTCAAACCAAACCCAAACCAAATTGAAGGGTTAGGAACAGTGCACTTAATGCAGGAGGGCAGCTCCTATAAAAGGTCTCCAGCCCACCTGTAACTTCCTCTAGCTTCCTTCTCTTCCCATCTGTTCGCTCTCCAGATTTACTCAGCAGATTCAGGCAATGCTACCCAGTCGCTTTCCCCCAGCCACTCTTGGGTTCCCCCCTCAGTGTCAGCCCAGGCTGGGTTTCAGGAGGAGGGTAGCTCAGTGCAGCAGTTAGAGCATGAAACTGGAGCTGGCACTACAGGATTCTGTTCCCAGCTCTGCCACTGACTCACTTTGTGGCCTTGGACAGCTCACTGTTTCTCCCTCAATAAAATGTAGATAATGAACCTGGTTTGTCTCACAGTGGGGCTATTAGGCTTAATTCGTACCTGTTTGTAAAGTGCTTTGAGATCCTCGTGTAACAGGCAATATCACTCTGCAGAATCCTCTACCTCGAAGAGTCCAACGCTGGAGAGACCAGGCCTGGTCATTCTGACTCACACCCTCCCAATTCTGTTTGTATGCTCCCCTCTTCCAGGCTCTGAAAGACCCCACTTTGGCAGCCCGCAAGGATTTCCAGAGGGAGGCAGAGCTGCTCACCAACCTGCAGCATGAGCACATTGTCAAGTTCTATGGGGTCTGCGGTGACGGGGACCCTCTCATCATGGTCTTTGAATACATGAAGCATGGGGACCTGAATAAGTTCCTGAGGTAAGCGTGAGCTGACTGCTGAGAGGGCAGGGCAAGGGCCGCTGAACCTTCCTCCTCTGGGTCACTGCTTTGAATCCAGGCCAAGCCAGTAGGGACCAAAAGTTGTTACTGTCCAGTGACTACTTGACTGCCTGGATAACGTGAGTCGGTCTTCCCAGTCCAGCTTCCAGCAGACAGGGGTCAGCACTCTCCACAGAGAGCCATGCAGACTGGACTTCTTCCTCATCCAGGAGCGGCGCCAGGGTTTTTGCCGCCCTAGGCGGCAGCGCTCCTCCTTTGAGCATTCGGCAGCAGGGGGGTCCTTCCGCTCCGCATCTTCGGGGCACTTCGGCGGTGGGTCCCGGAGTGAGTGAAGGACCTGCCGCTGAATTTCCGCCGAAGACCCGGAGCGGAAGGACCCCCCGCCACCGAATTTCCACCGAGGGCAGCAAAATGCCGCCCCCCAAATGCTGCCGCCCTAGGCGACTGCCTAGGGTCACCTAGTGGAAGCGCCGGCCCTGTCCTCATCCCTAGAGGGCGTCCATATGGTCAAAGCAGGTTTGAGACAGGAGGCAGCCTGGGAATGCTATGGATAGGGGGCTGCAGTCTGCAGGGCTGGCAAATCAACACCTTTCAGCACCTGTGAAATTCCCATGCCAAACAAAGCCAAGGACTGAACTGACCCCCCTGAACACTTTCTCTGGTTTGTAAAAACGAGGTTATCGTTCTGCTGCCATGCATTTCGTTTTGCGCATCACCCACCTCAGAATCCTGATGGGGCCAGGAGTAAAAATACCAAAACTCTACCCTAGAGAAGCTGTACTTTCAGGATGTCTGACCTGGCTGGCATCAGTGGTTAGAGATCCTGTGAGATTTCCAGTTCCCCTTTCTAGATCCAGAGATCTGATTTTGGGGTGCCCACTGGACCCAAAGACTGGGGCTTTGCTCACTAATTCTGGTCAGAGGTCCCAATTGTGATCCAGATGTCCCTAATCCTAGGGGAATTAGGAGCTATTGTGGCTGGCCCCATTTCAATAATTGCCTCACCTGCCTCTAGAGTGGTAGAGATTAAAACACCAGCCGGGCTTGTCTATACCGCATGGTAAAGCGCATTAGAGGGGTGTGATTTGAGGGGTGCTCTGCCTGCCCTGTGTTGACCCTCCTGGTGTGAACAAAAAGGTTTCAGTTTGCGTTAACGTAGCCCTGTTTCAAATCTCTGAGTGGTGTGGAGCAGACAGCAAATGTGTCTGATGCTAGTCTCCTGTGATGCAGAAATCATGCTCTAAAGCTTGTACTGTAAGTGGAGTGGCGCTTACCTCTTGAAATAATTACTAGCTTTATTTCCAAGTATTTAGAAAATTGGACCCTTGATATTTTTGTGTTTTGACTGCTAAACACGAGCATAATTGCATTAGGAATGAGGAGTTGAATGTGGTGTCAGTGCCGAAACTGGGGTTCTCCTGTTCACGGAGATTATTGCTCCACTGTTGCAATCGATTTCTGACCGGGAAAAACAAATCCTTCCCCAAAGGTTTGGGTTATTAAACAAGTGTCCTGAGTGATGAGGCTCTGGGAATGGCTCTTGAAAGGTTCACCTCTCCCCAGAGCTCTGCAAGGCGGCTCTCGCACTGATGTCGGAGTTTCACAGTCCTTGGGGGGCAGCGCCAGCATTTTGATCCCCAAGCCAGAGGTGTCTTGGTGGTAGTGTGCAAACTTCAGGAAACTACATGTGATTTCACAGGTCGATTCCTATCCTATGCCCTAGTGGGATGAGCTGCTTGACAAGTTAGGAACAACACAATACATCACTTTATTAGACATACCGAAGAGGCATTGGCAGGTCCACCTCACAGCCAAATCCAAAGAGAAGCGAGCCTTCCCCACTCCGGGACTTTCTCATTTCACTACCATGCCTTGTGTGGCACCCCACCACCTTCCAGCAGTTTATGGACCACCTCTCCCTGCCATCATTGTGAGCATGTGGCTGCCTATCTGGATGAGATGGTCCTTCATTTAGTTCGGAGTGCAGATACAACCTGTAGGACAGTGTGTTGCTGAAGGAAGCCAGCCCAGAGAAAAGCATGAGAGACCAAGTACTTGAGGTATTTAATAGAAAAGGAGAAAATCCATCTGCTCTTAGATGAAGTGGAGACACCATTCCCTGGCAAAAAAAATTAAAATTTTGCAAGGCTTGTCCTCCTTAGGACTAGCCAGATATTGCAGGTGAGTCATAACCTATTGTACCACTTTGACATCTCCTTTAATTGACCTCACCAAACAGAATGCTCCAGAACAGGCCAGCTGGACACCGCAGTGTGACAAAGCCATTCCTTGATAAGCCTTTCCGCTGCCAGAGCTCTGGGGCCTGGCTTTACACAGACATTCATACTCCAGACGAAGGCCTTGGAGCCATTCCACCCGCACGCTTCCAGGGTTGTATTGGAGTCAAGTAACAATTTGCCTCATTAAGTGAGATAACCCATGGTTGAAGAGTGCCTGGGTGGGCCATGGACTCTCTGGAATCACCTATTAGAGAGGATCTTTGTCTCATTACTGTATTATGCCCTATTGTCCTGGCTCCATGTGATGGAGTCCAATCCCTGGATTACTCAGTAATCCCAGGCATTACAGCCTTACACCTTTTGGATGCTTTTTCCCTCATACTTTGGTCATCCCCGGGCCCCCTTCTCTGGGGAGTTATGTGGTGGGCAGAATGGACACTCTGGAACACCAGTAGCTGCCCTCGCATCCCCCAGCCCCTTTTTTACTAGTGATGGGAGGAGACACCAGCCTAGTTATTGGGACAGGAGGGCTCCAAGAGACACCTGGGCCAAGGGAACACCCCACAAAGCTCGGGGAGTTCAGAGAGACCATGAACCCCCTGAGCCTGATTCACTAATGCATCTGTGCTGCCATTCTCACAAAGGGGATGAGGTAGAGAGATGGCAGCCCTGGGAAAGGGAAGCTGCTAGACGGAACCTCTCTCCCTTGGGCAGTGAGCTCAGGCAGAGCCATGAATTGAGCCCTGTCTTGTTGTTTGTGAGCGTACACTGAGTCCTTTGTGTAGCCAGCCCAGAGGCGCTGGGCGGGGAACTGGAGTCAGGTCTCCTTAGGCGTGAAGGTCTTTACATCAGATAAATAGGGCCTCTCTTTTGCTTGCTGAAGAGGAGCCTCTGAAGGAACTGGAACAGGGACCCGCCACACCTCTCTTTGCTGAAACGATACTGTGGGAGGTGCCATCTTTCAGGCAGGGCATAAAGCCCAGGCCCTGGCCACTTGTGTCACTTAAAATCCCCAGCGCATTCCCTCAAAAAGGGGAGTTCATGCCCAGACACTGTCAAAACCTCAGCAAGGATAATAACATATTTCTTTAATTTCACCCATCAGCTTCAAGGCCTTCACTGCCTTCCTTAAGTTCTTCTGCAGCGTTATTGTGCACCATGAAGCAGCTGCTGCATTGCACACCAGTGGTGGCTGCACATCAGTGCTGGTTAGGAGTTAGCCCTGGCATGAGAGGGCCTAACTACCACTGACTTCCGCAGATATTACCCCAGGTTAGCCTGGGGCTGAATGTGGACCAGTCTCTGAAGCCCTTGGGAGTATTCTAGCTCTGTTGGTCCCAGGATATTAGGCCATAGCTACCCTACAGCTTTAGTTATGTCGCTCAAGAGTGTGAATTAGCCACACTCCTGAGCGACATAACCCATGCAGACATAGCACTGTCCACTCAGGTGCATTCTTTGCTTTGGGTATTTACCTTGCAGGAGGCATGCAGAAGTTTTCTTTGGCATACGTCACCCAGCACTGCTCCCAGGGCCAGAGGGGCGGGGGCTACTTTCAGGAGCAAATCAAATGAACTTGTCCGAGTTTAACTACACCTTTCAATAGAAATTGAAAAAGCAGTAAAATGGGAGCGGGCTCACTTTAGCCTGGGCTTCCCACAGATAAGCATCATAAATAAAAGTCCCCCAGTTTTTATTATGGCCTCTCAGAGAAAACACTGAACAATAAAGGTGACCGATGTGGCAAGGGGAGTCATTTCAATTTACACCTGCCAGCTGGACTGGGGATTGAGTGCCACAGGGTGGTCTCTCTTCATACTTCACTCCCAGCCCTCATGCAGCCTGGCTGCTCCTCTCGCCACTGGTGGCAGCAGATCAGACGTGTCAGGCTGCCGTCGGCCCGTCAGGAAATACAAAAAGGCCTGCTGCAAATTGCAGTGTCCTGGCTGATAAAAGGCCAGCGTTGAAATGGCAGCTCCCTCCGAAAGAGCCTGTCAGGGAGAAGTGTAAACATCCCTCTCCAGGGAGCAGGGGGTCTCCAGGGCTGACTTACTAGGGAGCCTGGGAGTTCACTAAAAAGAACAGGAGTACTTGTGGCACCTTAGAGACTAACAAATATTAGAGCATAAGCTTTTGTGGGCTACAGCCCACTTCTTCGGATGCATATAGAATGGAACATATATTGAGGAGGTATATATACACACACATACAGAGAGCATGAACAGGTGGGAGTTGTCTTACCAACTCTGAGAGGCCAATTAAGTAAGAGAACAAAAATTTTTGAAGCGATAATCAAGATAGCTCAGTACAGACAGTTTGATAAGAAGTGTGAGAATACTTCCAAGGGGAGATAGATTCAATGTTTGTAATGGCTCAGCCATTCCCAGTCCTTATTCAATCCTAAATTGATTGTATCTAGTTTGCATATCAATTCCAGCTCAGCAGTCTCTCGTTGGAGTCTGTTTTTGAAGCTTTTCTGTTGTAAAATAGCCACCCGCAGGTCTGTCATTGAATGACCAGACAGGTTAAAATGTTCTCCCACTGGTTTTTGAGTATTATGATTCCTGATTTCAGATTTGTGTCCATTAATTTGTTAGTCTCTAAGGTGCCACAAGTACTCCTCTTCTTTTTGCGGATATAGACTAACACGGCTGCTACTCTGAAACCTGGGAGTTCACTAGAGCTGCTATGCAAGGCAAGGCTGCAGAGCCCCTGCTGTGCACATACCATTGGTGGCTGCTCCGCATCTCTATGGTGTTCAAATATCCTCTTTCCCTCTGTGTTTACTGCATGTGTGTCTCCCTCTCTATCTAGCCGTGGAGAAGGACAGAAAGCGAGCATGTATGTGTGTGTGTGTATTAAACTCGGCGCTTGGGTGGTAGAAACAGCTAGAGTGACGATTACTTAAAAATTTCCATTGTAAACTCCTATTTGCAGTCGCCTTTAATTTTCCTCTTTTATTAAAATCTCCAGACTTGCTCCCTGCTCAGAGGCCATTGTTTCTTGGAAGTTTGTGTAGCATTTTGTATGTGTGTAAAATCAGAGCGTGGGTGGTAGCACCAGCTAGAGTTAAGGTTACTTTAAAATTTCCACTGTAAATCCCTATTTGCAGTCATCTTTAATTTTCCTCTTTTATTAAATACTCCAGACTTGCTCCCTGCTCACAGACAATTGTTTCTTGGAAGTTTTTGTAGTCTTTTGATTATGAAGAAAGAAGGAACAAACATACAAGCTATCCATTACCAAAAAAAAAGTCATAGTAGTATAATTTTTAATAGCTGTAGTGTCCAAACAGCTGGGGGCAAAAAGAGACAGTGCTCATTGAAGACAGGGGATTTCTGCCCCATGCTGACCAAATGTCCATCGCATGAACTGCGGTGTTTTATCCCCAAAGAACAAACCCCTCTGATGGGCTGAGAATCTGCCCGGTTTTACAATCATTAATAAACCGAATTAGCCCCACGCTCTGAGAAAGTGACAGACCAACCCGTCTTCTCATGCTCTCTGCAGCCTTCTCCATAAAACTGGATGCACTGTTGTCACTTATACTAGTGGCATTAGCCTGTTGACACTACCCCAGCTACAGGGAGGGAGGAAGGGCCTGTCTAGACTAGGAGAATAGGTTGCATTTTAAAAGGTTTTAACTAATTTAGACACTAGTGTAAACAAGGTGTCACACTTTTACGAAAGTGTTAGCTGGTTGAGGGTAACTGTGCACCCCTCTGACCAGCTAATATGTTTTAAACATCACCTTTGTTCCTTACCTAGACGGGGCAGAAAGAGAGATTTCTTTGGTGCCTCTTGGTCTGTTGGGAGTTGGAATGAGCAGCAGATCAAACAACCATCTATCAACAACACGTTGCTAGCTTCCAGACCTGTTCTACACCAGAAATATTACTCGTTGCTGACAACAGGTGTCAGCCAGTCGAACCTTGACGAGCAGGGTCCAACTGCAAGTGCAGACCATGGCCAGCTGTGTTCTTCATTGTTTCAGACGCTGTGGTTTGTTCTGGTGTATGTTTGTCGCTCAGCCGTGCTCAGCACCAGCTCAGCTCCACCTACTGCTGACATGTGTTGTCAACAACAGTTAATTTCCCTGGTATAAAACAGGCTTTAGGATGTTTAAATAAGACATCAATCATTCATCTTATATACTCTCTTCAGCAATCTCCTCTTGCACTCTGCAACATTCCCTAACAAGTTCTCCCAGTCCACAGCTCCTCTCATCATCCCACCTGCTCTTTGCAACTAGCCCCATAATCTCTGTGACATTTCTACCCCGCAGCCCAGCTTCTCCAACCCTAGCCCTGTGCTGTCTGCAGCATTCCTACCTCCGGCTCTCTGCAACATCTCCACCTCTGTCTGCAGCACTCCCTGCTCCCTAGTGCCACCTGTAGAGTTCACCTTCCCTTTCAGAGCTCCTCCTGCTGTCTTGTAGGGGAGCTTTAGGGTTGTATTTGTGGTGGCAGGGAGGCAATAGGCATTTGAAGAAGTGGCATCTGAGAAATGGAATCAGCTGAACGCGAAATATCTGGACACTAATCCCAGTGCTCATCCCAGAGCCCAGCCAAGCACTTAAGAAAAGTAGACAAACAGTTCTGATCTTGTGGGGATGTTTAGCTCCATGCAGGGAAGGAGGTACAGCTTTGTACGTGCAGTTTCAATTTGCTTGATGAAATGTCAAGAATCATTTAGAAGAGAGTGGTAGGAAAGCCCCAGAGGAAACGTTGTTCTGTATCTAGTCAGGAGGAAGAAGATCACAGCAAAATCTTTTGCTTTTCCCCTAAATATGAATGTTTTTCCTATTCCACCTCCACACAGGCAACCAGAGGGTGAACTCCAGTAGGGGAGAGACGCCACCATGGAGATAGTGTGGCAAAGACAGGCTTAGTATGTGAGGGGAACTGGGCAGGTAGGGCAGCAAGGAGGCTGACCTTGAGTCCGAACCTAGAATGCACTTGTGTCTTATACGTAGACCTTGTGCTGCCCAGGATTTCCCCTGACTTTGTAGGGTCTAATCCCTGCTAGCAACTCTGGGAGGGCATGTGACCCTGCAAGTCACCCCCCACCCATGCCTTGCCTCTGCCTGCCACTTTCAGCTCCTGTCCAAGCTTACAAATGCCAGGGCTGCCTCAGGGTTAGAGTTGGGGCTCTGACCCGAGGAAGCCCAGGAGTGAGTGACATCTGAAGCCCAGCAGAACCCTCCCCCCCCGCCTCGCTTCGTGGAACGTCACCAGGAGCAGAGGACATAGTGGGGGCTGGTGAAAAGGAGTTTGGTGGGAAAAGGCAACCTGTTTGAGGAGAGAGAGGCCACTGGGGAGCCAGGGAATGATGGGATTGGAAGAAGGGGAGATCTCTAAATATTTGGAGAAGGTTTTATGGGGGGCGAAGTTAACTGAACTGAACTTCCAGATCTTGAGGGCGTTCATGTTTGTTTTGGCTCCATCTTTCCAATAGATCTGCGCATAGAAGCCAATCATCCAGGTGCACTGAGAAGGTCTCAGAGTTGGGGCCCAATGCCCTGACTCCAGGATGAATGGAGGTGGTTTGAGATCCCTGCCACCTGGTTGTTTAGATACCCACTTCTGTGCTGTTTGCTCTTTCCCCTGCAGGGCGCACGGCCCAGATGCTATGATCCTGGTGGACGGGCAGCCTCGACAGGCCAAGGGGGAGCTGGGGCTGTCCCAGATGCTGCACATTGCCAGCCAGATTGCCTCTGGAATGGTGTACCTTGCTTCCCAGCACTTCGTCCACAGAGACCTGGCAACCAGGAACTGCTTGGTTGGAGCCAACCTGCTGGTGAAGATTGGCGACTTTGGGATGTCAAGAGATGTCTACAGCACTGATTACTACAGGGTAAGGCAGCTCCAGCGCCAGAGTCTGAAGGGCAGAGGGCGGCTAGGAAATGCTACAGTCAATCAGCCACCAAAACTACTGACTCGCACGCTTGTTCATTCCTTCCCCCGTGCTCCCACGAACCCTGAAACACATACTCACGCAACCACCTATGACTCACATCCTTGCACACATCGGTGTACACACCCACGCATGCGCACACCCACTCATCGGTACCCTCTGTCCTTCTCACCTACACTCCCATTCACATTTATAACTCAGACACAAATGCACACTCATGCACTCACACACATTCCCTTAGTCTTTTACATATTCAGCTCTTTCTCTCTCTGATGCACACACACACATCACTCTCCATTACACACACACACAATGTACAGTTTTTGATTCCTCTCTTTATTTTTTTAAAAAAAAAGACATGGATGCATTAAAGAGACTCCAAAGGAGGGTGACAAAGCTGATTAAAGGATTGTAGACGGTGATCTGTAGAGTGCAATTAAAGAAACATAATATAGAGAAAAGGCAACTGAAAGAGTGACTGATAACTGCATAAAATAAGGGAGAGGAAATAATAGGCAATTTAGGTTTGACCTCAGGACTGTCTTTCAAAAGGGACATTATTTAGACAATGGAATAATTTGCCAACCTAGGTTGCTCAGGCCCCATCATTAGAGAAGTTCAACAGGAGACTAGAAAATAAATACCTGGGTTTAGTGCAGCACTAAATACTAGAGCTCGACTGAATGACCCAGGAGCTCCTTTCCAGCCTTATCTTCTGCGATTTATACTTACACATTCCTGTGTCCTTACACCCCTCCTTGTGTTGCTCTGCAGTGCCCCATCTGGCTGATGTAGGAACTTTACTGATGGGCTCTGAAGGAAGCTCTCCTCAGCTGTGGAAAATTGGTTTTGCTTTGCGGGGGAATCCTGTAGAGGATTCAGCACCCCGCCCTCCACAAAAAAAGAGTCTTTCAGGATAAAAAGTGGACGCTGTTGCTGTAGGGCACGTTCTGGGTTTGGGTCCTTTCAGATTGTAACGTAGGGGTCTGGTTCTGTATAGCTGGCTGCTGATTCTCCACCTGATTTCTGTCACCTTGGGGCAGAGTGATCCATGGCCACGTTGTTTTAAAACAACATGAGGTAGGAGCTATCTTGTGGGGGGATGGAGAGTGGAGATGGACAGAGGAAAGCTCTCAACAGAGCGATTGAGCAGTGGCCAAGGTGGAGATGGTTAAGACACTGTCAATGCAGAGATTTTAAGAAGCAGGCTAGATAAGGAGTTAGAGGGCATGATGTCTGGAGGAATCTTGCAGGATTTGGAGTAGGATGGGCTGTCAAGCTGGTATTATCTGAGTCTTCTCTCTATGGCTGTAGAAAAGATATGCTCCGTCTAACTACATTATTGAAAACCCCAGTAGGGTTTCTGCAAAAAGAGCAGGAGTACTTGTGGCACGTTAGAGACTAACAAATTTATTTCAGCATAAGCTTTCGTGGGCTACAGCTCACTTCTTCAGGGTTTCTGTAAGTCATCTAAGTAGCACGATCGCTGTCTTCCCACTAGTGCTGTGCAAAGGAGTGAGCACTGCAAAGAGCTTCCTGGATGAAGGGACTGTGCTGGGCCCTTTTCACTCTCTATAATGGAGATGTCCTGGGGCCCCGCCCGTCTTCTCGCAGAAGGATTTTTTATGTCTTTATTGACTGAGGAGGTGGAAGTTAAAACGCTCCCTTTCCAGCCAGTCACTGCAGCGTCTTTAGAAGTCATCTGTTTCTAATGGGCTTTTCTTTGTATCACACCAACTGCCTTGTGTGGCCAGAGCAGCCCCTGGCACTGTGCTCTATGCAAGCAGAGAGTCCCAGGGGAAGAGTTTTGTTCTTCAGAGGCCAATTTTTATTAGTTTTAGGATTAAAAACAAATCTTGATCATTTAACCCACTACTACTACTACTACTTAGCCTTTCTCTAGCACTGTCCATTTGAAGGGGTCCCCACAATCACCCCGGAGAAGTAGGGGTCACTATTATTACTCCTGTTTACACATGGGGAAAATGAAGCACAGACAGGTTAAGTGATTTGCCTAAGGTCACACAGTGAATCAGTGGTAGAGGACAGAATTGCACCCATGTCTCTTGATTCCCTTATCCCCTCCCTTAGCCAGCAGGCCATGTCCCTCTTAGAGCTGGGAGCAAAACCCAGGAGTCCTAACTGCTCTGTCCTCTGCTCCAACATTCCCCCCAAACTGTCCCCATCTCCTCTTCTGCTTTCACTTAGCACAACAACATTCTTTGATAACATGAGACTTGCTTTGCTGGGTTTGAATTGTGTGGCGGAATACGGTTTGTGAATGGCAGTCGGCATTGCTGAGCTCCCTGCTAGCAGCCGTTGCCACCTTTCTGGGCAAAAAGCTGGTGGTGACACCAGTGGTGTTGGATGTGGCTCTGTAGCCGTGGTGTCAGCCGTGGTGTATAGTGCCATTGACTTCTCTTGCAAACCTGGGCAAGGCAAGCAATTCCGTTCAGCCACAATTGTGCTTCTTGGCCCTGAATGCATCTTAGGATTTTTACTCCTTATGTCTCTTGCATTAAAACTGGATCTTTTGGGCTTCAGAGCTCACCCGTCCCTGTTGCTTGTGCCCAGCATGAAGGGCTATTTGACCAGACACCACAAATGGTTGCTGTTGAAGCAACACAGACAGAGAGCAAGATCCCAAGTTTGAGAATCAAAGTAGGGCTTGGACTCCCATATGCAGCCACTAGGATGTGGCTGATGAGTTCAGCCTTTAAGGTTTACCCTTTGGGTATGGTACCAAGCAGTGGGTATAACCCCCATAGTAAGTTCCCTGAGCCAACTTCTCAAGGTCCATGCAGAACACCTTTCTACTGAGGATATTTCCCGTTGGTAGGATCCTGGAGCAAAGTTCTATTTCGGGTGATTTCTGCATCACATTGTGTTGTGTATCCAGGTTGAGGCCCCAGAAGAATACAGTAATTTATCATTTTCTGAGAAGGCTGTGAAGGATTCCATCTGAAAACTGACAAGATCTGACAGGTCTGCAGCACTCTGAAGGCTGCAGCTTACTTAAATCTGTTGGGTCTGTGTGTTTGCCCTCGCCCAGCACTGCTGAGTGCGGATAACTAGGCGCATGGGATGCGGGAGTGCATTCCAGATTCGGGATTAACTCCTAGCCATTTCTTTTCTTTTCCATTTTTAATCTTTTAAAACAAAGAGAGAGCACCATCTGGCTCATGCATAAGTAGGATGCAAAATGCTTTACAAAGGTGAACTGCTTAATTTCCTGTTACACGTTTGGATACAGAAAACAAACATTGACGTAACAAAAGCAACAGAGTGATTTGTTCTCCCTCTCTCCGTGTTCAGTCTGAAGACAGATGTGTCCTTTCCCACGCGGATCACTTAGGAATCCCATCAGCTCTTGCTTTTAAACCTGCTTTGACAAGACAGGGTTTCTTATGGGGATGGGGAGGAAGTGTTTTTTGGCAAGTATGAAAAGATCTGAGATAAAATCTTTGATTCGAAAGGGAGGGAGGGTGGGACCGGGACGAGCTGAATCCTAAAACCTGTGTGCATTCCACAGAATTGAAGGAACATTGCTGTAAAGCGTTGTTTAATGTTCCATTTCATTTTTGGTTTTGATCCCTGTGGGAATAAAGGATTGAATAGCTGCGTATTGGTGAGAATTTTTTTTTTTTTTAATTTCATGAATGGAGTCTTTTTCGGAATAAAGACCCAGGACTGCAATGAGGGGAAGGGGGACTTGCAGGTCAGGATTTAGGTGCAACAGATTTGTGTGGGGAGCCCTGGACTGGAATAGCCGGGATTCTGTACGTTAAAACTGAGATGAATCAGCAGTTATGTGCAGGAGGCAAGGGCTGGAACAGCAGATGGTGCAGCAGGTCAGGACTGAGTTTCTCTGACAGCTGGAGGTGGGCAGGAATGGAACAGCAGAGGATGCTGCAGGTGTGGGTTATGCTTGGATCCTAAGAAGTAGGTGACTTCCTCACTCACACCCTCCTCTCTTAGGCACTACCTTAGGGAAAGATCCCAACCAACCCTGGCCCATGCCCTTGCTAGTCTCGATGGGATGTTGAATCTCCTCAGTGAGGTCATTGGGTTCCCCTTCACCAAAACGAGAGAAGGGTTCCCGGTGTTTTAATGAGTGGTGAATTGCATTCCTAACAGTTCAGCTTGAATTGGGTGCTTCACCGGTGGTGTACAAGCCCCTCGAGTCTGTAAAATCTGGTTGGAAGTGTTGGAAGAAGATATTTTCTGGTGATGTTTTGTCATTGGCCTGGCGGGTCATGGCCAGAGCATGGAAAGGCATGGAAATGAAAAGTTAACAAAATTCTTCCCAGCACCCTACGTGGCTCAGGATTAAAATGAGCTCTGGGTGAAAGTTCAGGTCTTTTCTCCTTTTTAATCCACTCCCCAATTTAAATTAAATACTTTCTGCATGACACTATTGTAGTTGCTGGCTTGTAATGGTACGAGACCAGGGGAAGGAAGGGTGACATGTCTATGTCTTCGGAAGAGAACCCTGGTCCTGGCTTCTCTATAGCCAACATCTAATGACGCCCAGTTAATGTCCTAACATGGATATGACAGCAGGAGTGAGGACAAAGATCCAATCAGAATAGGGGAGTTTGGTAGCATCAAAAGCAGTGAAACCTTGTTACAACATCATTCCTGGTATAGTAACATTGGATAGTGCTTAGTCCCCATCATTTTTCAATTCATTGAAGAGTTTCAGCTCTAATCTAGCCATTGGCATTTCTCACACATCCATCGCCATGGTATTTTATTACTATAGAATCCTTCATTAATATAATATCCCTGTTATCTCTTCCCCTGCTGCTCTAGGACTTTGCTTTATTGTCCATCTCCATGTCGCACGAGGGCAGTGTGGCATTCACTGTGAGGCTCTTAGCACCAAGAAAAACGCCCAGCTACAGCACAGCAGTGCCAGCAAGAATAGTGCCGAACTC